TCACTTTCATCAAAATGACAATCACGTTTGGCATGTCTTCTTATATAGTTATGAAGTGCCATGGTTGCAATAACTATTTTGACTTGTTTTGCAAAAGGATAACTAGGCATGTCTCGTAAAATACTCCATCTCTTTTTCATACCGTGAAATATGTAGGAATTTTAGGAATCACAATCTTGAATTACTCATGAGATAGACCCTATCATATCCTAAGTAGCCTCTTATTTGTGGGTATCCCGCATCTACCAGATAATATTTTCCTAAAACAAAATTTTATAGATTATTCACAATGTAAAAAACTGAAATATAAATTATATGAATTTTTTTTCTTTAGATAGAAATAGTACCATTTGGAGGTTTAGGAAAATTCAAACTTTGATCACGTAAAGCTGATAGAAATATCCTTGTGTCATGGGCCGTGCCTTCCCATCCGGCACATGCAAATATAAATTGCATGTCAAAATTGCATGCAGCCATCACATTTTGGGTAGGTATCTCTTTTCTACCAATAAATGGTATTTGATTAGAAGGAGATACTACAGCTTGCACATGAACACCATCTATAGCACCAATACAATCCTACAAGTGATAAAAAGACAAACATAATATTAATTATAACATAATAAAACATAGACAAATATTTAATAGTATATGTAATAGTTACCTTGAAATGAGGCATATATCTAGAATCCTGTAGGATTTCCTTTGGAGTGTTGTTAAACGCATTTTCCAGTGGTTTAATTACATCCACAGCCAAACGACATACAACATCAAGTAAGATACTAAAATATCTGCTCACAGTCTCACTAGAATGTTGAAAGCGATCTTGTGCTTGCCTATTTGCAGAACCATGTCCTAAGATGTTCAAGAACATCCCTAACATCTCAGCAACACTCATTCTTCTTGAACCCTTTAATCCATAATTGTTTTGCAATTCATCACACAATCTTAGAAATACATCTTTGTCCATCCTAAACATATTATGGCAACGACTTTCATTTCCTTGTAATACTCCCATCAACCAAATATTTCCTGTTTGATGGTCATTCATACACGGGGTCTTATGAATATATTTCACGTAATAAAGTTCAATAAGACGAGCAGTGACACATATAATTTGATTGATCTCCTCCTCGTCTTCTAGAATGGACATGTTCTAAAATAACCTGCAAATGTGTTTATTTTCTTCAAATATCATTTTCACTATGCATGCATGTTTAAAATATCACTCACAAATTCAAATAAATGATAATCCAACATTAACTCAAATATCATTCACAAATTCAAATAAATTAACAACATAACAATGAAATATAAATTAAAGTCACTAAACTATCAAATTCTAGTTTTCAGCTAACTCATGATTAAGGAATTGAAGCTTGAGGTCAGGATCTTCCATGACAACAAACATCTCTCTCTTCTCTTGAACACAAAACAATTTAGTTGCAAACCACCACAACTTGCTACAACGTTCTGCCCCAGGTAAAGTTGCAACATCTTTCATCACTTCAGTAATACTAGTTCCTTGTGAAACTATATTAGCCATTGATGATGTTCCAGTACTCCTACTCTCAACCACCTCAACAAGACGTTCAATTTGTAGTGATAATTTTGCAGCACCTCCCATTTCCCCCCCTCCTTTACCTTTCTTCTCATTATTATCTTGAATTTCAAGTGATTAATTAGTTCTCTTTTTTGGCACATTGTTTGTAGTTTGAGTGGTTTCAATTGGCACAGACTCATTTGAATCACCATTAACTTCAAGTTGGTTGACATCATCATCACTTTCAACTGGAAGTACACCAGATGAAGGTGCCCAAGAATGCTTACCAGTGGCTGTGACATTCAAAAACATCATATCTAACTTATCCTCCATCTTAGGACTAATACCCTCAAATTGGAATCTTGAAAAGATATTTTCTTGCTTTCTCGATAAGTCTCAACAATCGTGCCAAAAATTAATTAAGAGTTGGGCGAGAGATGAATTTCTTGTGTTGCATGCTAATTTGTCTCATGTTTGCCTGGATTTCTTGTGGGGGAGCTGGAAGGAGAAGGGGATGGAGAGAGAGAGAGAGGGAGGTTTTTTTAAAAAAAGATTTTTTTAAATGTTATTTTATTATATTATGTAATTGATTTATTATTTTTTCAAGAAATTGGTGAGTTCTACAGTGGACACGTCATCAGTTAAACCAAACGGTCAACTTAACAGAAGGTCTAAATTGGTCAAATTTGAAAACCATTGGGTGTAAATTGATGAAATTGAAACTCGGGGGCCCCTATTGAGAATGACCCTAAATCTTTAAGGAGTCTTTTGACCTTAAATGAGAAGGAGGAGTGGCCTTTTATAGGCATCCAAGAACAAGTAACATTCACCACATTAAACCAAAAAATTAAATCATTTAATATAAAAATAAAACCTGAAAATAAATATTTATAACATCATAATAAATAAAATAAAACAACCAAATAATTAAAACAAAATTTAAAACTTATAACGGTAAAATTTTTAAAAGCTTTTAAAATTCCAACACTTCCCATAAAAAAAATAGTATGCTTCTTTGAAAAAAAAAAAAAAAAACTTTTGAGTAAAGCCAATTTGGCCATCTAAAAAGACTGTTTTAGCGGCTAGCTAGCAACTTTCTTTCTATTCAAAAAGGACGCATAACTAAGTAGAAATGATAAGACTTATCCCACAATTCTGTGTCCTTCACGTTAACAGTTAGTTAGGTCGTCGGATTGAGAAAGGCAACACATGGCACTAAGGGAGTGGTAGGTGGACGCACGATGAGTTGGAAATTCTCAACCTACCTCATAACATAATTGTATTATATAGAGCGTTGCCTGCTGCTACTATAATGTCTGTGAAAATATATCACACTATTTATGATATAATATATAAGGCTAACGTCAAAAGACTCCCTCAAGGTTTGGGGTAATTCTCAATATGGGCCCCCGAGTTTCAATGTCATCAATTTACACCCCATGGTTTTCAAATCTGACCAATTTAAGTATTATGTTAAGTTGACCGTTTGGCCAAACGTTAACTGATGACGTGTCCACTATAGGACCCAATTGTTTTGCTTTAAGATTCCTAGACCAAAATCAAAATGGGGGATGGGGTGGAGGAGCTGGGAGGAGAAGGGGATGGAGAGAAAGAGGGGGAGGTTTTATTTTTAAAAAGATTTTTTTAAAGTTATTTTATTATATTATATAATTAATTTATTAAATTTTTAAAGAATTGGTGGGTCCTACAATGGACGCGTCATTTGTTAAACCAAATGGTCAACTTAACAGAAAATCTAAATTGGTCAGATTTAAAAATCATCGTATGTAAATTGATGAGATTGAAACTCAAGGGCCCATATTAAGAATGACCCTAAATTTTTAGGGAGTCTTTTAATGTTAGCCCTAATATATATTTGTAATTCCAGGAGTGTTTCATGTCGCATGCTCCGCGGGTCCATTTCAAAAAGGCTTATTATCACAAAACGTCCCTGACGTTTGCGAAATTATCACATTGCATCCTTAAAGTTTTTTTGTATCACTCGTGGTCCATAACGTTAATATATGTGCTCTTAAATAGTCCCTCCGTAAAAAAAACTGTTAAATCCAGGGATATAATCGTCAAATCAATCCAAAATTATATTTAAAAAATTATTTTTTATTTCCTTTCCTTCTCTCTTTATTTTCTTCTTCTTCTTTCTCTCCGCCTGTTCTTTTCTTCTCTTCTTCTCTCTCTGTTTCTCTTTTTTTTCTTCTTTTTCTCCTTTTCTCTCTTTCCTCCTCTTTTCTTCTTCTTTTCCTTCGCATGGCTGTTTCTTTTTCTTCCTGTTTGCTTCTTTGTTCCTCATTTCTTCTCTCTCCAAAAGCTACTGTGACTGCAAGATGGTCTCCGAGCTCGCCCAGCTTCGTTTGGCTTTAAATTACTGAAATTGCACTAAAACCTGTTAAGATTTATCTTTTGATTATTTATTTTTCAATAAAGTGGTTGTATGTAGTTAGGAGACTTGTTTACCTAGTCTACAGGAGAATCCCTAAGTTTTAGGAGTCATGGTCAGGTTCATTTTTCATGCTGGAGTCGTGGTATGTAGTTCCGCAAAATCTGCAAAGTGGATGTTATGTTGCTTGCAGCATAAAAAGAGAAACAAAGAGAGAGAAGAAGAGAAGAAGAAGAAAAGAAAGAGAGGGAAGGAAATAAAAAATAATTTTTTAAATATAATTTTGGATTGATTTGACGATTATATTCCTGGATTTAACAGTTTTTTTGACGGAGGGACTATTTAAGAGCACCTATATTAACGTTAGGGACCATGAGTGATACAAAAAAACTTTAAGGATGCAATGTGATAGTTTCGCAAACGTCAGGGACGTTTTGTGATAAATAGCCTTTTAGATGCAATGTGATAGTTTCGCAAACGTCAAAGACCTTTTATGATAATAAGCCTTTCAAAAAAATCTGCCATGTGCACAAGAGTGAATTTAGCCGAAGACATGTCATGTCTTCTGTTCATAGAAAGACAACAAAGAAACTTTCTTAACTTTCCTTCCTTCCACAAATGCATGAGTGTACTGTCTCCCTGCGTCACGCATCTCAATTTTCAAGATTGACTGCTCCTACTTCAATGGGGTCAATCATCAGTTATGTGAATTCTAGCTACCCATTCTTTGACTCACTGCAATATATATCTACTTCTTTTTTTTTTTTAATGAGAAAAATCCCTTATAGTTGACAGGAAATTGTACTTTTTTTTTGTCTTTTTGCATTCTTCTTTTCATGTTAAAAGCAGTTTAGGACCATCCTCTTTCAAAGCAGACATGTGCAGTTGCAATGTTTATGGGTAAAAAACAGAACCACTGGCCCACTTGGCTATAAATTCCCATTAATGTATGTATGTCATTTACCTTCTTCTTCTTATTTTTATTTCTACTGCATGTCATTTACTATTTTACATGTGATATGTGCATCTGTGAGAGAATGGATTTATTCGAATTATAATAGTTCAATTTAACAACTTTTGTGCAGTTAGAACCAGAGAGAGAATGGATTTCTTGAGTTTTTGTCTGGTCCTGCTAAGCCTTTTCTTTGTGTTGTTGTTCTCAATCATTCAAGCTCTGCGAAGCAAAGCCAATCCCAAAAGGCATCTTCTCCCACCTGGACCAAAGCCATTCCCCTTCATTGGCAATCTTCTAGAGCTTGGCAACAAACCCCATCTCTCTCTCACCAAGCTTTCTCAAATCTATGGCCCCATTATAACTCTGCAACTCGGCCAAGTAACAACGGTGGTGGTTTCTTCACCAAACACAGCCAAACAAGTCCTCCGAACCCACGACCAATTCTTGTCCAACCGAACCATCCCAGATGCAGTCCAAGCCTGTGACCTTCGCCAGGACAGCCTGCCATGGATACCACCTTCGGCCAAATGGAGAAGCCTTCGACAAATATGCAACTCTCAATTGTTCGCCGCCAAAATCCTCAACGCCAACCAACCCAACCGTCGCATAAAAGTGCAAGAGCTCATATCTCAGATCAACGAAAGCGCGGTCAATGGTGAGGCGGTAGATATTGGAAGGGCCGTTTTCAAAACTACGCTCAATCTGCTGTCTCGTACTGTTTTCTCAGTGGATTTGGCTGACCCAAGTAGCGAGATGGCCAGAGAGTTCAAGGAGACTGTGTGGGGTTTGATGGAAGGGGCAGGGACCCCAAACGTGGGGGACTTTTTTCCTATCCTTAGGAAAATTGACCCCCAGGGCATTAGGCGGCGCATGATCAAACATTTCAACAAGATGGAACAGCTCTTTGACCGCATGATTAGCCAAAGATTGGCATCAAGAAAAGCCCATGATTATGTCACATCCAATGATATGTTGGATACTCTTTTGAACATCAGTGAAGCGAACAGTGAGGACATGGACAAGACCAAAATTCAACATCTGTTTCTGGTTAGTTGTTTTGTCTTTGCTGATTATAGTTTGTTAGTACGAAAATTATATTGGCATTTCCTAGACTCTAAAATAAGTTGAAAATTAGTGTGTGAAGAATTGTTACTGGACGTTTTGGCACAACTCATTCAATCCTATACTTCCGTGGCATGACTTGACTGATATGAGAAACTTGACTTAAGGTAAATCATGACATAATCATGCATTCACAATAGGATTTATAGTTGGAGTTATTTTCAATGTCATTGTGATTTAAGTTAAATATTAGCGTTTCCTATAGTGACGTGCACCATGCTTATCTCTTAATTAACTTGTTTTAGGAGATAAGTGTTTCTTTATAAAAGTGGATGTTTGGTGTCATCACTAAGAGTCCATATTGAATAAGAATTTATATTCATAATTGGATAGTTTTTTTTGTCTGCTGTTTTGGCGTCTCAATGAAGAGACCTTTTTGGATCAGGTTTGGAAGTCTTAGTTGAATAGAAGTAATGGTCTCTTGGGTTTCTCTCTTGGTAGAGAAAACCTATCTTGAATAAAATGAAGGGTTTTCTTTTCAAACAGTAGGCTTTCAACGTATTAAACTTTTGAGTCTATTGAATCTGTTTTGTGAAAGCTGATGTGCTTATTTCGTTTCGGTAAGTCATCAAGTGCTCCTTAGTTGCTTGGAGATTTATCGAATCCTTTCATCATTCATATTGCATGCATATGTATGTTGGTGACTCATACGGTTAAGGGCACCAAGACTGTTGTGGTGTTTATCCTCCGACGAGCTTGAAGCAATCGTGACCAGTATTGCATTCAACATAAGGAGTGTCGAAGATCATTCTGTGACAGAAATTGAGTTACACTACCGAAGTCGGTAAACTTTATCTAGATTGCATCTAGGATAAGTGTGTGAGTAGTTCTTGTAATCTTCATTCTATAGTGGATTTGCTTTGGACTAAAGACTCCCGTGAATTTTCCCCAGAGGTGGGGTTTAACCACGTAAAATAAATATCTGCGTATTCTTTTATTTTATGCTCAGCATGTTTCAGAATTGATAAGCCATATCAATCTTGCTTCGAAAGCCTATAGTTATTTATTGTTACTAATAGAATTAGCCTAGTCACCCGAACTCTATGCATTTTTTAGTCATCCTACAGGTATTTTCATAGTTAAACTATTCTATCAATTAATTTAATTTACAGAGACAAGGGATTCAAACTTAAGTGCAAAGAGTGGGCGAACTGGCCTGACCGTCTACTCTCGTTAAGTGTTTTTGTTTTTGGTTTTTAATCCCATTTTATTTTTCTGACTTGTTATGTGAAAAAGGCTCTATTTGCCGCGGGCACCGATACAACTTCAGCCACATTGGAATGGGCCATGGATGAGCTGCTACGCGACCCTGAAAAGCTGTCAAAAGCTCAACAAGAGCTGGAGCAAATCATTGGCAAAGGAAAACCAGTAGAGGAAGCAGACATTGCTCGACTTCCTTACTTACAAGCAATAATCAAAGAGACCTTTCGGTTGCACCCAGCAGCTCCATTGCTTCTCCCTCGCAAAGCCGATTCAGACGTTGAAATCTGCGGGTATATTGTACCCAAGGGTGCACAAGTGTATGTGAATGCATGGGCCATCGGCAGAGACCCCAGCATTTGGGACAGCCCAAGCTCATTTATGCCGGAGAGGTTCTTGGGATTGGATGACCAAATTGATGTTACAGGCAAAAACTTTGAGCTTATCCCATTTGGTGGTGGAAGGAGAATATGTCCTGGCTTGCCATTGGCAATGCGAATTCTGGCCTTGATGTTGGGTTCACTCGTTAACTCTTTTGATTGGAAGCTTGAAGATGGGGTTGTACCAGAGACCTTGAACATGGAAGAGAAATTTGGCCTCACCTTGCAGATGGCTCACCCTCTTAGAGCTGTGCCGAAGTCATTTTGTGAAATTTAATGGAGTATAGATACGTCACTTATCTATGTTAGTATTGAAACTTATTAATAATCATGGATGTTAGATTATTTTTTCCATAACATTACTTCATAATGGCTTTTGGTCTAATGACATTTAGTTTCCACTATTTTCTATTAAGCTCTTATAAGTGTAATAACCATTCATTATATAAAAAAGAATGAATCTTTTCTCTTATCTTTTTTATGCTCTCTTTTCTTCTTCTTCTTCTTCTTCTGATTCAGTGAATCTTAAAACCATAATATATTATTCAATTTCATATTTATTTTAACCTAAAGATAATAGAATTTTATTATCTAGGTTTTTCTACAATTAGAATTTTTATTTATTTTAATTATACATTTTTATTCTCAAATGATAAATTTTTCATTGTTTATAATAATTTTAGCCTTTAAAAAATATGAGAATTTAAAAAATATATATATAGGACATAAATTAGCAAAAAATATACTTGAAAAATAACTTACATATTATTATTCTCAAATTGTCCTACTAGACACGTTTTCCCTGTTTTTATTTTATGAATCTGTTTTCCAATTAATCTACCAGACGCATTCTGGAATCCTGAAAATGCAAATTCGTTTTCTCGTTTTCATTCTTAGAAAATATTATCAGGAAACATTTTTCAAAAACATTACCGAACGGCCCTTACAATTCGAAAACCTTCATGATTTCTGGATACAATTTCAAAAGTGTAATTAGTAATCTCCCAAATATATCACAATTTGAAGCAATGAGAGATAGAAAGATGGAGAGAGGGTGGATTTCGGTAGTAGCTGTGGTGGATCAATGGTTGAGTGAATGTTTACTTGTTTATATTGAAAAAGATGTGTTTGTTTGTATTGATAATGAAACTATAATGCGACGTTTTCAAAATATGAAAACTTGTCGTGGACAATTGTAATGTGGTTTTTTCTATTAATTGCGAATTATAATATTATCGTTTTATTTTTATTTTTGGTCTATTTTGTATATAAATTTTTTAACTTTTTAGACGTTGACCCTTGAAAGGAAAATTCCTGGATCCGCCACTAGAATGGAGGATGTTCATTCCTATATTTAGGAAGACTGGAAAATGAGGACTAGGAAATGCAATTATCTCTCATTCTCATGTTTGGTTACTGCAGTAATTAGGAATGAAAAGTTATCAAGGGTATGAAATTCCCCCTACATGCGAAGTCCATACCCATGAGTCCATAATTGTATTCCCAAGTATGCATTTACCAAATATAGGAATGCAATTTGAAACTCATTCCCAAGCTCCTAAACCTTGAACCATGTGTGTGCCATGGATTTAATTTGATTTTCTCATTCTATCTAAGATCAACTTTCACAATATTTTTCTTTGTTTACTTTTCCAATATTTTTACGTTGATAGAATTTGGGTTATGCTTACTTAAGATACCAAATTTGTAATATTGAAATTTAATCATTATAATAAATTCTCAAGTATATCATAGTGTTATTTAAAGTTGGCACTCCTTGATAGAATTCTCAAGTATATCAAAGAGTTCTTTAAAATTGACACTCCTTGATAGAATTCCTATCTCCGCCATTGACAAGAAACTTGGAGTCCATTGGATTCAAGACCTCGGCCTCAAGAGAATAAGCTTTACACGCTCATGTGTACCTAAAAGTCCAAATACCTTCATGTTGGCTAAGTTGTGGGCCAAATTCAGGTCCTCCATACACTTCTTTCTTAAAAGTTCTAAAGGGAGTTTAGGGTATTTTTGATAAAAAATTGATAAAAAAGAAGAAAAAAAAGAGAGGAGTTTTACTAACAAGTAGTGGCGGATCTAGTAAGGAGCTAGTGAAGGCACTATCCTCACTCAGTTTTGTCTACACCTATAAAGTGTCAAGTTTTCAGGATATTTTCTGTTGAATGAGGACAAATTGTTTAATAAAAATGCCTCGAAGAAGGCTAAAGCAGGGCAATAAGGGGGCAAATGAATGGTCTTGGGCTGCATTAGGCCAAACTTTACAGTAGGCTCCATTAGCCACTGCATGTTAGGCCATACTTTACATGTTCTCACCCCAGGAAAGAAATTTTTTTATGCTGTAGATTTAAAACATGACTGAGAGAACTCGTTTTCACATTGCGGTAAATATCAAAGCTTTTCAGTCTTTTCGTTCGAGCCAAAATTTCCTGCGCTTGCACCTCCAATCCATTAACCTCTATTTCTTTCTTCCACCACAACACCTTCTCTTTCCTGTGCTTTCATCCCTGGAAATATCATAGCTGCTCCTCCGGGTTATAATATTTTTATATCTTCTTTTCAACACCTTCTCTTCCCTGTGCTTTTATCCCTGTCAATATCATAGCTGCTCCTCCAAGTATTTGAATATTTTTATTTCTTTATGATATATGGGTATTTTCCATTTTTCTTATACAAAGTATCCTGATGTTCTTATGGTATGGGATTGTTTACTACAAAGATTTGGGTTTCGTTGGAAATCACAAAGGTTGGAATCGGAAAAACAGAAAAGCATTGATGTATGGGTTATATGGATTTGGCTACTAATTGGTCTTTATTTTTGTATGGTTTTGGCTAAGTTATTCTATTTCATTTTTTGGTTGAAAGTTTATCTAATTCAGGTTTGATATGCACTTACGAGTTTGGCTTTTGGTTTAAGCATTGCTATAGTATTCTTTGCTATTGTTTACCAATGTCCCATTGACCAATATTTTTGTTATTTTTTGCTTTAGTAGATGAAAATTTAGAGATGCGAAGCCCACAAAAAGGACTCGGGACATATGAATTTATGGAAGATACTAATGAAAATAATTCAGTTTAGTTTTCAATCCTCAAGTAGAAGATAAGCATATACCAAAAATTGGTCAGGAGTTTGAATCACTTGAGGATGTCTATAACTTCTATAAACTATGCAAAACAAGCGGGATTTAGTGTTCGAAGTTATTGTCAGCAAAGGAGTAAAACTTCTAATGAGATCTTAAGAAAAGAATGTGTGCTACAAAGAGGGAGTATATCCCAAGGAAGTTTCTAATGGAAGTGAAAGGTGGCAAGGTGTAGTACGAAGTGGGTCTAAGGCTAAGATTGCGGTTCTGAAGGTAATAGAAAGAACAAAATACATAATTTCTAACTTTGTGCAGGGCCACAATCATGCTTTGACAGCCCCTCAAATGGTATATTTGTTGAGATCGCATCGCAGATTTTTTGAATTTAATAAAGTATTGGCACAACGATTTGGTGATGTTAATATCCCAACACATCAACAATTTTGTCTTCTTGAAGTGCAAGCAAGAGGGATGCAAAACATTGGATATACAAAGAAAAGATTTATATAAATACAAAAGACAATTGCAGAGAAAGATGTAGGGGTACGAAGCACAGATGTTGAGTGAGCATTTTATTGGTGAGAAAGCAAAAAATGAATCATTCTTTTTTTTTTATTATAGAGGCTGACGACGATGATAGGCTTAAACATTGTTTTTGGGCTGATCCAACAACTAGAAGAGCTTATAAGTTTTAGGGAAATATCGCTTCATGCCACCATTTTTTTAATTTTAAGTGGAAATACGACCTCTCCCCAAAATTTCTGCAAATATCACCTATAAATATATATTAATTGTCCACTTATTGCACACATAACACTTTTTCTGAAATTGAGTTTTCTCTCTCATCTCTCTCTTGGCTCCGTCTCTCTCTATCGCGCATCTCTCACTCTCTCTTCGCTCTCTCTGTCGCTCAGCTCTCACACTATTGTCACTCAGCTCTCACTCTCCCTTCTCTCTTCCTCTTCTAGCAGTATCTATTCATCGAAGCTCAACTCCATCGTTCACCTCCAAATCCAAAAGGTACTGTTCACCGTCATTTTCTTATGGTTTAGGAGTTTCTCTGAAGTTGGTTTAGGGTTTATAGGTTTCTATGAAATTGGTTTAGGAGTTTGTTCGAAATTGGTTTAGGGTTTAGGGGTTTCTCTGAAATGGGTTTAGGGTTTCATTGAAATTGATTTAGGGTTTAGGGGTTTCTCTGAAATGGGTTTAGGGTTTCACTGAAATTGGTTTAGGGTTTAGGGGTTTCTCTGAAATTGTCTGATTCTAATGATTCCTTGTTTGAAACAGTGAATGAGTTTGTTCTTTGTGGATTGATTCTTGCATTTGATTTGGGATTCACTTTATTGCAGTTGTTTTGCTGTTGTTATTGATGTTATATTGCTTTTTTTTGCTGTTGTATTGCCAATTTAGTAGTGTTGTATTGGCATTTTAGTACTGTTATATTGCTAGTTTATTATGGTTTTATTCCCGTTCCATTATGGTTTTAATGGTTTTGGCGATTTATGCAATTGGATTATGTGTTTCTTTGTTGTTTTCTTTCATCCAAAAAAAGGAAATTATAGGTGTTCATTTATAGTCTCTACATTAGCCACATGAATCTTTATAGTTTGTCTTGCAGTTGCAGTAGCTTTTTGTTGTATGTAGTTTGTACATAAGAGTGGAGTGTGGAGAGAGTTTGACAATAGATAAGAAACTGAAATTGGGTAAAAAATGCAATTTTATTTCACATAGCATTATAAATGAAAGTGATGTATGAAATGGGATTTGCGGCATTTTTTAGGAAGCCTTGTGGAGAGAAAATATAAGAGAAGGAAGTGGGAAAATATAAGAGCAAGGCTTGTGGAGAGAAAATATAACATAAGGAAATGTGAAAATATAAGAGAAGGAAATGGGAAAATAAAAGAGTAAGACTTGTGGAGAGAAAATATAAGCCTTGAAGGTAGAATGAATATGTATTTTTTCTGTCATGGGACACATTGGTGAACATACATGCAATGCATATCAGGTTATTTTGCCCCTCTATTGTACTTTTATCACTGATATATCTTGTGCCTATTGCCTTTATCTGCCTCTGTATTGTGCGTTTATTGCTTTGTAATTGTGTATATTTCAACGACCTAAAATTATTTATATAATGTTGGTGTGTAGGGAAATATGGTTTCTAAAGTTCAACTGATGATTGATGGGGATGAAAAGTTCCAGGAAAAGGCGTTGTTGTCTCTTTCCCATACAAAGACTGCCATCAGTACAATTAAGGAGAAATTTAGTGAGCAACAGTTACAAAGGTTCCAGGAAAGTTGTTTTGGTCATCTACTACTG